CAATGAGGATGCTTAGCTTCTCTCTAAAATTGTTATTGTACCAGTTAATCCAACATTTATACCACAGGTCATAGTTATGCATTCTTGAAATATTTATTTTAGGAAATATTTGATAATCTTGTATTGATATACGACAGGATACTGAATGATACTTTAATAAATTCTGAAACATTAATTTAAATGGGCATTGGACTACTCACACAATGCGCGTGTGGTTATATATATATATATATATATATATATATATATATATATATATATATATATATATATATATATATATATTCCACAACTTTTTATTTTTATTTTTATTTTTTATTTTTTTAATTTTTGATTCCATTGTTCAAAAGTAGGAAGTAGAAATGTAATGAATTTTATACTTTTATAATTATTAAAGAATTTCAATCCCCATAATAAATAATGATATTTTTGTCTCTTCATTTTTTTTCCCAATGAGTTAATTCAAAGCGGAAGTGCCTTATTTTTTGTGACAATTCCATATTTAGTCCAGACAATTATTTTTGGCATGTAACACCCAGACTATTTTATTTTGGAAGGACCAAAAGTGTCCAAAATATGATAGTATGTGGTGTTAAATGACAAAAACGGTTGTCTGGGACAAAAATTGGAATTGCAACAAAAAACAAGAGACCTCTGCTAGAATTAACTCATTGATAAAATAATAATAATAGAGTTAATACCATCTAAGGTCATTCGAGTATAGTGGTTTTGCCACGTTTAGTCCTAAACTTTCAAATTGACTATCTATGGTCATTCGACTTTCAAATTTAACCATTCATAGTACAAGTTAACCACATATGGTCTTTTAAGTTTCAAAATTTAACCAGTGGCGGTCCTCTTGAAAAGGACCATGGTTGGTTAAAATTTAATAGTTGAAGGACCAAGGGTGATTAACTTGGATCATGAATCGTTAAATTTGAAAGTCGAAGGACCACAGATGGTCAATTTGAAAGTTTAGGACTAAACGTGGCAAAACCACTATACTCGGAGGACCTCAAATGAAATTAACCCATAATAATAAATTGAAAAAGACAAAAATACCATTGCTTAAAATGGGGTTTCATTGTAAAAGTCATCAAAAAAAACAAAATTGTCCAAAATATGATAGTCTGTTTCTAAATGGCAAAAATGATAGTCTATGACTAAATTTGAAATTGCCACCAAAGATAAGAGAGATCTGCTGGAATTAACTAATTAATATATATATATATATATATATATATATATATATATATATATATATATATATATATATATATGTGTGTGTGTGTGTGTGTGTGTGTGTGTGTGTGTGTGTGTGTGTGTGTGTGTGTGTGTGTGTGTGTGTGTGTGTGTGAGTTTATAAAATTACAAAATATAAAAATATTTTTATCATTTTTCCATAAATGTATAAATGTGTATTATATTTTCATTTTGCCCTTATGCGAAATCAATGTAATGTGCAATTGGTTATTAACACTTGTAATGATGATGGTTAATGGTCTAATATAACATGAGGGTAATTCCATATGCACAAGATACCATGTAAAACATTTTCACATAATGTACAAACCTCTTAACATAAAAAGATGGACACAAATTGCATTCACACATATAAAGTTATTAGATTTAGTATATATTACGAAGTAATTATTATATTAAAAGAAATATTAAATGACAAACAATAATTTATGACTAAAATTTGAAATTGCAACAAAAAATAAGGAATCTCTGTTTGAATTAACTATATATGTATTAAATTATAAAATTAAAAATCATAAAAATATCTTTATTATGATTCCATAAATGTATAAATGTTAATTATATTTCCATTTTGGCCTTATGAGAAATCAATGCAATGTGCAATTGATTATTAACACTTGTAATAATGATGGTTAATGGGGTTCTCAAAAAATGATGGTTAATGGTAGTGTAACTTAACATGAGGGTAATTCCATATGCACAAGATACAATATACAACATTTTCACATAATGTACAAACCTCTTTAACAAAAAAAGGTGGACACAACTTGCATTCACACATAAAGTTTTTAGATTTAGAGCATCCCCACCAATGGTTTTTGGTTGGATTTTTTAGGAAATAAGATCAAGTGGATGAGAGAATGTGAGGTAAGAGAAAAATAAAAACCCTCGTGCAAGGAGTTAGATTTTATCATAAACGTGGATCCCGCGTGGAGGAAGGAGGGCGCGCTGGAACACGCGTCCAGTGCACCTTGCGTGCCCGCTAGGCCCGTGCACTGTATGTGCTCCTGGGCGTGTAATAGCCTTTTAGATTTAGTATATATTACGAAGTAATTACTATATTAAAAGAAAGTCAACAAAACAATGACACGACTCTCTATAAAATATTCATATGTTTAATTTATTCCATGTTTGTGTTGTATCACACTCCATTTTAAACTCGTAACGCACTCAATTACATTACGTTATTCTAACGTTTATAAATTAAACCACCACTCCAACGCTCCCCTCTCTGTCTCTCCACTTGCAAAGAGCCAAAGAGAAAAGTTTATTGCCCAAAAACTCATTGGTAACATTTCTTTACTCCTTCAATCTTTTTTTTTTTTAATTCCTCGCACGCATCAACTAATGACTTTGAGGTTATTATTAGCTAGTGTTTTGGTTCTAAATCGTCATTGTTCATTTCTGAAATTCATTGCTTTTTGGTGAGCTATGGCTTAATTTCAAAGTTTTGGGAACGATTCCTGGTGCTATGAGATAGAATGTATGTCGGAATTGATTATTAAGTGGAGTCATTATGAAATGGAACTCTGATCCAATGTTGTTGAAATTTGTGTTTGTGTTTGTGTTTGTGTTTTTGTTTGTTTTGGTTAATGCACAGTTTATTCGGTGTAGTTACAAGTGGTTTTTGCATTTCAATTGTTTGTATCATATGTTGCTTGTTTATAAAATAGAATTAGACTTTTCAATTTGATTTGATATATGGTATTAAAACTGATAAATACCACACATTACAAGTTCGACTCAAATAAAAAATTAAATTCTTCATTTTGTAGTTTAAACTAATTGACAGTCTGCCCTACCTTAGGGTTATTTGTTGTTTTTTTGTTGGAAAAATGATATTTTTCTTTCTGAATTATATATGTTGGTCCCGATAGAATGTAAAGAGAGTCTAGAGAGGGGGGGGGGGGGGGGGGGTGAATAGACTCTTTTCGTGAAATGCCCTAAAAGTCACCTTTCGGTGTTTTGGCGCAGCGGAAAAGATAGATTCGTTTTAAATACTTTGCACGAGTTTGCGTAATTAAGGAAACTTTCGGTAATGGTGATAAAAGGGATGATGCGAATGCAGAAAAGAAAAGCGTAAGTAAAGAGATAGAAGGGACACGAGATTTTATAGTGGTTCGGCCAAACGTTGCCTACTCCACTCTTCTTCCACAACTGATGGAAGGATTGCACTATCACTCTTAGTACAATTACACAAAGACTTCCTTGATCACTAAGCTGGACAGCCTTCGTAGGTTTTTCAACTTCTCGAGTTTACTCCGCCTCTATCAACTTCTTCTCCTGAGTTGAGGTTGGTAGAAAATAATTTCTTGAATTCTCCAACGATGAAGTCTTGACTTTGAGATAAGATTGCTTTGAGCAAATGGCAAGACTTCTTTTGAGGTGTAAGAAGGAGATCAATAACCTTCTTCAAGTAACTTAGCACCTCAATACTAGTTCACAAAAGCTTTTAGTAAATTGAGAGCGTTCAAGAGCTTTTGCAAGTTAATGAGTCGAGTGATAATGAACCAGCACCTTCTTAGTTGATGAAGGTGGGTTTATATAGGTGATGAAAATTCATCCGTTGGAGGGAGATGAACTTTTCGAACCTTTTAACCATTGGACAAGGACCGGGGAGCTTCATGCGTTAAATGCTCCATTAATGAGGTTGTACCATGTAGCCGTTGAAGGTATGGAAAGCATTTGGTTTTGTCCTTTAGCTTCAGGAGATGGTACATCTTCATTTAATGCTCCTTGAAAAGTGTGCCCCATAAGATGAAGTCCTTATTGTCCTAGGATGTTGTCAAATCAGACAGGTAGGACATTCTTCTCGTTGTTGAAGAGAAGTAATGTTTGATAAAGATTGTCTTTTAACAAAACTGTTCTTTCGTGCTAGTTGACAACTCCTGCTTGTCTTTCGTTGCTGTTCTTCGTGTCTTCTTTCGCCTTGTAGATCCTAACATCTAGTCATAACTCATTTTCATGTGTTTGTCTAACTTAACACGAATTACAGAGGAGTTATGGCAACTCTCGTCTAGGACGAAAGCAGCGATTGAAAAAGCTAATAGTTAGGGGTCTACTTTTCTACATTACATTGGTATCATCAAAATCCTAATACAATGTTCCTAACAATATATTTATAGTGTTTTTTCTTCTTAAATTATTCATATAAGCAATAATTCGTCTACAAATGAAAAAGAAAAAAAGTTACTTAAAATACATACCTATTTTACCCTCATTTTTAACAATTCAAAAATCTATTTAACAGGAAGGGGAAAATAACCATTTTTAAAATAATTAAGGGCTGGAGACAAATATAAATACATGAATATATATAATTTAAGAAGGAAAAATATACAATTTATATATTAAATGTTCACAATTTACATACTGAATGTATTGTGATCATTCAATATATAGATTGTAAACATTTAGTATATAAAATTGTAAACATTCAGTATATAAATTGTGAATATTCAGTATATAAATTATATATTTTTGAACTCAGGTCCAGAGAATAATCTGCCATATGTTGTACCCCCTTTAAGATTGATGATCTTATTGGAATGAATGATTATCAATACATTTTGGTCTCTGCAATATTACTATTCTGTTCTTTTCTTTGTACTGTTTCCATTAAAAAATATGATCCGTTTCTCCGGAAATGGCTACGAGCTAAAGATAATAATTACAACAAATAAATAATTTTTAATCAAAGGCCATTTATATGCAAAAAAAAAAAAAAAAAAAAAAAAAAAAAAAAAAAACATTATCACTACAAATTTATAATAACATAATCTTCCCTGGGCTACACTGATGAGTATAACACTAATTGTTGTGTCTAATACAAGATTTGATGAGGATACATCCACCAAAAGATGATGCCATGCATGCTAATCAAGATAAACTACTACATTCCAACTCTAATTTACATGAATTACCTTACCTTACCTTGTGCTAGCTGTCAGTTTTGCTCCGCTTTCATAACAATTCCTTCAAGAATTGCATCCGTACCAAAATTACCAGTGAACTGTTGAGGATTTACGGGACCAGGAAGCTTGAAAGATATTGAGAAATTGCCCGACGGACAAAGGTTTTGAGATTGCATCTCAAATACTTGAGAGCGCTTTTGAACAATTCTTTCACCGTTGGTTGTCACTCCGTTTATTATCACCGTGCCATCGTCCTCAACTTCACAGCTAAATTCACCTGCAATTTTAGTTAAATGGGGCCAAAATAAGCCAGAAAACAAAGCTGACTTCTTGACTTCTTGAGAAAATTCAAGTATAAACGAAATGTATAACATAAAATACTCCATCAGTAATGGCCATCTATGGTAATGATCAATCAACAGCACATGCGGGAATATCTTATGCATTTAATAACCATCCCCTAATTTTGCAACATACAAGGACGTACAAAGGATTCAAATCAGAGGAAATAAAAGGAAATCCCGAAGCACAAAGTAGAAAAATGATAATGAAGTTGAATCACGATTGATGAATGAATCAAGGAATTGAACCTATCATGCATGCAATAACAAGTAATTGACAAGGTTTCAGTGCTTACTTTCATCTCTTTTTACTCCGGGAAGTGATACACGGAATATGTAAGCGTCCTCTGATTCTCCAATATCTACGCGTCCTAAAACCGGCCCTGTTTGCCCATTTGCTGCACTTCCCGTTATCGAGTACCCCCCTCTGGTGGAAGCAACAATGTCTCTCCACTCTTCATTAGAAGGGGGAGTTGGAAGGACAAGCATAGCATGGTCCAAGTTCTCAGAATTGGTGTTTGATGGTGATGGAGCGGGAAAAGTGCATGTTAAAGGATTACTGTTTAAGTGAACAACCAAAGCTCTATCAAGTTGCACATTACTATCACCTCTAGTCAATCCATTATGATCACGTGTCTCACCAGCAGGAAATGGAAGCGACCCCTCACGGTATCCATCCAAGAGCAAATGTTGGAGACCGGTAAGCTTTTTGAACTTTTCCAAGTACCCAGCACTAATGTAGTTCACATCAGGGTCATTGACGAATGCAATGTTTTCAATAACATTATGCCCATTACGTAGACGTAGGGGATGTAAGTGAGGTGGAAAAAGATCATTCAGTTGGCGATAAGTTGCAACAGAGCCTTGCACAGGATTAGGGAGAAGTCCACTGAAGAACTGGTAAAATAAAGGTAGTGGCAGAATAGCAGATTGGTTTGCCTTTCTAAGTACATAGTAATAGAGTCTCTCCAATTCAGCAGTCCTGAAGCACGTGCCAGCAAGTTGATCAGAAGAATAAAGCTGAAGGCCTTCAGCAATCCTTCGCAGAGCAGACTTCTTAGGCCTTTCATCCTTGAGATCAGGCCCAAAGTAGATACCCATGATCAAGTATAGAAGAAAGATCTGATCTTCTGTTGGTACAAATGTGCTGGAAGATACATTGTCCATAGTTGATCTGACAAGATGAGGAGACTACGTTAATCTCATCCTATAGAAAACAGAAATGTAGTAATCACAGGTAGGCCTTGCACTAAAATTGTCAAAAGTTTTCACTCAAAATTCAACAAATTTGATGCCCAAGTGTTGGAATGTATATGGTGATTGATTATCAAGTGTGGTCATTATGAAATGGACCTCCACTGATGTTCAAATTGTGGGTTTTTTTTTGGTCAATGTAGTTTATTCTGAGCAGTTATTCTGAACTTTTCAACTTTGATGGGGTTGTTCAATTGTTCTGATCATATGTTCCTTGTTTATAAAGTGAAATTATCAAATTTTCAATTTGATCAGGTTCAAAGTAGATACCCGAAGACAAGAGTAAATAAAATTCTTACATCAAATGGGCTACTAAAAGGAAAAAACAAACACTGAAAGAGTAAAGAAATGCTACCAGTGAGTCAATGGGTTTCTGGGCAATAAGCTTTTCTCTCCCTGCAAGTGGAGCAGCAGAGGGGAGCGTTGGTTGAGAAACGCTATGGAGTGACGTAACTGAGTAAGTCACGAGCTAAGATGCAACCAAAGAAACCTTGTTGAAAGATGAGCCCATAATCAATCACAGCACATACTGCTAATCTTCTTAAATAATTCAAATAATGATTCTATTTCACTTACACAAAATGCATTTTAATGGAAAGAGTGTAATCTTATTAGAAACACAATTAAAATGAAAAACTCGAAAAGCACTACTAGAATTAATGGCAGTGCATCACTTGAGATCATTAGATCAGGCCAAACAGATGCTAGGTATGTTTCTTCCAACCTAAATTGGTCATGAACAAGGATTCTAGATTGGGTACAGCATCCTAAGGTGGGAAATAAATTTATCCCAAAGGTGAAATGGTAACCGAGAGCTAAATGAAGTTACAAACTGCACAAATACTAAGAATAAATATATCTAATAAGAGATGCTCTAGCTAACCAGCTTGGTTGGTGTGAGTGGCCGTGCGAGGTCAGGAGTTTGAATCCCCTCTCGTATGGAAAAACCAATCTGACCAGCACTTTGCCCCTTAATTGGGCCGGGCCGGTGCGAATGAGGATTAGTCTAAGTATGGTACGGGCTTAAAGGTGTCTCCTATAGTTAGGGCGTGCTTGAGACACCTCGTGGTCTGACCAAAAAAAAAAAAAAAAGAGATGATCTAGCTAATGGGAAGTCCTTATAAATTTTAATGACAAAACCTAGGTCATCAGTTTTGTGTCTACAAGACTAAAAAGTCAATCTATTGTCAAACCTACAGAGCTTTCCAGACAACTGATGTAAAAGCAACAGAAGACAAAAAAGATAGAATGTCTTAACTATAGGCCCTTTCTTGAGTTAGTATCTCTGCTACTAGTCCTTCGATCAAGCATTTTGAAGACTCCACAAATTAAAGATCAAAAGATCAGGAAAATAACAGGTGAAGAGCATTATTGTGCAGAAATTAACTTAAGATGGAGTCCTTGAAATGTCTAAGTGCCATTCTTGGAATTTCACCAAGAAGAGTGTTATGGATTCTACCTATAGGAAAATAAGCTCCATTAACCAACAGTCTACGTAAGTTTAATCAATCCACAAGAAAAAAGCTAACAGAAAAAGAAATAAACTGCAAATCCCTCTGACTACTAAATAGCCAGACACTCCTGTTTTGAAATCTACCAAAAAAACATATGGCATAGTTAACGACATGCAACCTCATAAACCACAGGAATTGATTAAAAAACTCAAAATCTGTATTCCATCTACATTTCTCTTAATCTGACAAACATGAGGCACTCAACAAACCTTTATTATCTCATAAAACCCATTTTGGGCTTTGTGTTGATTTCAAAAAAAAAAATACTTTTGTGTACCTTAGCACATATTCAGATCTTAATTAGAAGATCTTAGGTGGGGTTGACTTATCTTTTATATAGAAGATATTCACTGTCCCATTCCAAACACTGGCAGCCAGTTTAACTAAAGTCTGAACGATAATATTACAAGGATTTTTTAGTGTGAAGTCATGGGAAAAAACTTTTCAAGGTCATTTGATAACTTCAAGAAAACTAACAGCATTAAGTTCCAATTAGAATAAATGCATCCTTTATTGCTGAATAGAAATTAGAGTAGTGTATGCAATATAATAAAAATTGATGGTGTATCATGTCATACATATAGCTCAAGGAAGTGCGACAGGAAGAGAAAAGACAGAATCAGTGGGCAGGATAGCGGATAGATTCAACCAGTCAATGACATGGTAGAGAAACAAATCTAAGGGAGGACAGGGAAGTTATAATGTGCAAAGATCAAGGCAGTTTTATCATACAAGACAAAAGTGTTGCTTTTGATAGAGAGCATTAACAGCATACTATACCCTACTCCCTAGTGCAAAGTTGACAACTCCCCCAACTCACCCCCATTAAAAAAAAAAAAAAAGATGAAAAAAAGAAGAATGATGAAAAAGATGCCAATAAACAAAGAAAAGCCAACACATAATAGCATAAAAAAGGTTACGGCAATCAAACAGGATTATGTTATTTACTGCTTTCCAAAACAAAACACGATAAGAAGATAAGCTACAAATTTGCATGACATACTTACTGTCTCCCTTGCAAGAGGTTCAGGATTTTGTAGACCTTGGGGATGCTTAGACAAATCAGTATCACAGCAATTTGCAACAGCACTAAACAAATGCTTCACTTTGTCTTGGCACTGCAAAATGGTCTCCAAATGTCAGAACACTTCATGCCTGTACAAAAATTAAATTCACATTATTCAGTTACCACCTAAGCAAAAAAGAAATTCAGTCTATAGCGTGAGAGTTGATTAAAAAAGATTATTGTTTGTTCCCATTCATAGTGCCTAGTAAAACTATATCTGCACAACCTTGATATTTACTAGCAAACAATAGAATTATATAATGCACATAGAATGGTCATAAGGGGATCAATTAATTGGATGTGCAATGACTTTTCAGCACATACCAAAGGGCAACCAAAGGAGTATACAAACTCGATGAATTTCGCAACACTTAGAAACAGGTATGAACCGACAAACACTTGGCTATGGTTTACGACTGAGCTTATATCTCCATTAAATAATAAGATCCAGTGCAAGCATGCACACATTACATGCTTTACCAGATTATACATTAATGTGGTTTTATATGTTTTGGTGTTTTGTCAAGCAGAAGGAAAATCTTACAAATAATATACATAAGTCTATATAGCAAATAACTAATGTTTTCATATTTGTATTAACTTCACAGCCAATTGCTAATCTATTTCACTGAGCACACAGCAGCAGTTAAATGACACATTCCAATGCATTTGGGGAAAGAATACCTGATTGCTTTTTATCTATATTTTTTAAACCATTATCATTATTGGAAGTTAATGGTTTGAATACAGTTTAGAAAGCCAGCAGCCAAGAATTATAATTGTAATGACAACTATGCATGTTCATCCTTACTTGGCACCATAGTATGACATGATAATTTATAGTAACACATCGTGTCTAGAATCATTTAAGAAGTCTGCGCCCAAACTACATTCCTCACGACAGAATGCATTACAATAAAAAAAGATGGTTTCAGAAAAACTAACAAAACTGGTATGTTCATATAAGATATTATCTGAAAGCAAATTTATTGACACACATCACTCAAGCTTCCCATTTTATTCAGACTAAACCTCTAAACAGAACCCTATACTTTTTAGCAATTAGGTAACAAAAGTTCCTATGATTGTCAAATTGGTATATCAGATTAAGTGCTCACTGCCTGCACCAAATGAGTTTGCAAAGCTTCCATGCCAAATTGTAGCAGCAGATAGCACTTCCCAATGTGTTTTTGAAGGAAGTTCCATGTTAAGAGGGTAATGTTTACAGTTTCAATAGATTTATTGAAAAGAAGCAGGCAAAAGAGGGATAAAGAAAAGCATTATACCCTAGACCACACAGTAATGTCTTTGGCCATTTTATACAAAATAACAGACTGAAACTATTCAAACAATTGCGCACACACACACAAGCAATTGTAATTGAGCAACAAGTTACCCAGTTCATGCATTTACTTCTCCTCTCTGTTGAGAAGTTTGAATGCCAAGAGCATAATCCCAATTACTATACATATTATGCGGCAAAGCGCTTAAGAAAAAGGGTATCTCCGTATACATATGATTTCTTATTCGAATACACACATATGTATATCTTGAGCGAGCGAGAGAGAGGGAGATAGAGACTATACCTTTCACGAAAGAAAGTGAGAGAGGAGATAAAGATTTTTAAGCTTCTAACAATGGCGAAACTGCTTGATTGATTGATTGATTAAGCCTACTACTTGAATTTGCTTCTTTCTCCTACCGATCAAACCTCAAGTCCTCAAACCCAATTTCGTTTGGTTCAACTCGTATTTTATAAAATTTAAACTTTTCCCGGTATGTGTTTGGATTGTTGTGCGAGAAGAAAGATAATTGGCATTTGGAAGAGATTATTGGTGGAAAGAAACTGAGAACTAGAAGAGTTCTGCTTCTCCATGGCCAGCAAACGCAAACTTCCCAGACAGCGGCACCAAACTACAAAAGCGAGGGTGCTTTTGACTCATTGACCGCCAAGTGCCAACGGTTGGACACTTGGATGAGCGTTGGATGGCAATAGTACACTTTGGACCTTGGTATAGATTAATTTTTGTGTTTGTGTTATAAAATTTTGTACCTTAAGAATATATCTATACATTAAACAAATTAGTAATTGTGTTTATGTTATAAATTTTTATGTCTTGTGTTTCTATATGTTAGATGAGCAGGGTTCCTCTAACCCATGGATATATGTGGGATATGTCTTTTCTTTTATTGTAAAGGGTACAGATTTGTTGAGTACGTTTTATGTAAGGAATATGAGTAAGCTCCCAAGAGGGATTTATACGGTAAAATGCCTATAAGAGAGTTATGGGTGATTTTGAGCATAACCCGGAAACTTTTGATAAATGGGTTACATTGTGGAAATTGAAGGTCCCTCTCAAATGGAAGACTTTTTTATAGAGAGTTGTGTGTGATATTCTTCTCACCACCAACAATTTGATTATAAAGAGGGTAGATGTGGATCCAAAATGCACAATGTGTGGTCTCACACATTAGAATGTTAAGCACTTATTAATTTTATGCGATTATTCTAGACTTGTGTGGAATATTATGGGGCTACGTATCACAAATATTGTAGCTACCTCGTTTGCAATATTATGGCTTATGGGTGCAATGGCAATTTTGACAGATGAACAATGCCGACTATTGGTAGCGGTGCTTTATTACCTTTGGAGTGCCCAGAACGAAGCCGTATGGGAGGGAGCGCTGCAGCGTCCTGCCCAGGTATGGATGTAAGCAGCAGCTGCAGAGCACGCGTACACCCACGTCCACGGCCGAGTGCCACAGACCTTGTCGGCAGCAGCGTCGATCGAAGCAGCATCTGTCCGGCCGAGATGCTTCGTGGATGCAGGCTACAGATCGGCCACCGGGGAGGCAACATACAGGGCTGTGCTACTCGACCACGATGGCACGTTCAAGGCCGTGACGAACGGCAAGCTCCCGGGCTGTTTTTCACCACTTAGGCGGAGGCGCTGGCTTGCAAAGAAGTCTTATCTTGGCGTAAGGACCGAAACGTGTTAGAGGTGGATCTCCTAACAGATTGCTTGGTGCTAAAGAATGCGATATACTCGGAAGCTACAACAATTTTGTCCTACGTTGGGGTTGTTGTGGACCAATGTAGGATAGGTATGTTTTTATTTACTTATTGCTCTATGAGTTTTGTTACTAGGACACTTAATTTACATGCTCATACACTAGCTTTATTAGTTTACGATCAGGATCAAACTATGTATTGGGACTCGGTACCACCTTACTTTATCATTTCATTCATAAGTTAATAAATGGCTTACTGTTATTTTCAAAAAAAAAAAAAAAGTTGCATATTAATATGATGCTTATAATCCCAAATATTTTATCATCACTATTACCATTAATAAAAGAATAACTTCACTCCTGTCTTGCCTTCAATTTTTTACTTTCTATTATTGTAATTGCTTCTTGTTAATTAATCTCAACACCAGCAGTCCCTTGTCACCTATACTCAATTCAAGAAATAACCACCCCAAAGGCCCTAACCTCTCTTCAATTCCTACCCCTTTCCTTCATCTTCTCCATAGACATGGAACTCCATTAATGGCTTCTAAATAAGTTCAATCATGTATATGTACTCACAATAACATAATAGTATCCTTGACTTGACTTAATCCAAAGAAATGCATGCGTGATATTTCATTTTTGAGTTTTCTCATTACTATAACATGTCTCTATTCATAGTTGGTTGGTTCTTTTTAATTTGTTTCTATTCAATTCCCTTGTAATAACAAAGGTTAGTTGCAATCCAATTCTACCTCTGATCAGAACATCTAGCTAGGAAGAAGGGGGAGGTTTAACAATTATACGAAAATATATGATACATTGATTCACTGAGAAACTGTATGATATTGTCATCATCTGTGATAAAAAAAAAATATATCTCCACAGCCAATTTAATTAATCATAGGATGTTGATCTGTTGTCAGTGGATGTCTTTCCATGCATGCATAGGTTAACGTTATAGCTATGCACCCTAGCTATCTTGTCCTTTGTATACGAGGAGGATCCAGTTTGGTTCCCGACACTCCCTCTTCTAAGATCTCCCTCTCCTTTCTGGGCTCTATTTGTGGAGAAATGCCTTTAACATTTACATGATGATCTGATGATTTTCTTCTGTCATCTGTTTTGACTGATTGTTGGTCTGAATCAAGGTTCAATCTTTTCATCAAGCTATGATGGTGGTTGTGAGGCTGCTGCTTAGGGGATGGGAGCTTACTCGCAGTGGCTGTGCTCCCTCTGTCTTGCTTGAAAAACAGCACTTGCACAATGGTCCTCAATGGCAGCCGGTCGTTCCTCACTGCGTGGCCGCATACTTCCCGGGACAGTTTCTGGCAGTCTAGGATGCTGCAAAGGTGCTTCTTTTCTGCTTTGCTTAGGTCAGGGTGCTCCTGAAATCAAGGTTGTAGAAGGCCTAGGCGTTAGTCTGGAGGTCGGGGCGCCTCCTAGCAGGCAGCCGAGTAAAATAGTAATAATAATAATGAGTAGTCGCCCTAAATCTTAAAAAAAAAAAAACATTTGTCTGAGTTGGACGCCAACTCGGCCGAGTTAGGCATTGACTGTGCTGAATTAAGCGCCAAGTTGGCCGCTTAGGGATCGGCCAGCCGACTAAAAGGCGCCTAGGGGTGAAATCCCCTCGGAGCACCTAGCTCCTACTCGGCGCCTAAATTGATTTTTACAACATTGCCTGAAATTGAGAAAAAGGGGAGTGTGCCCCGGGCTAAGCTCACAGGTTCAATAGACAGTATTTGGGACTTGGGAGAAGAGACAAATGTTCGAAACTCAACGACAACAGTGTGGGGACCGGCATTTAACCCAGTCTGTTGAGTCACTGAGTTACCGTGATTTATATTTCTCACATATTCTATCGGGTCGGGGTGTGAGGGACCCATGTGGTTAGGGATTCAAACTTTGGGAGAAAGAGAAAAAGGGGAGTGTATGTAATATCCTAAGATGTGTTGATCTTCTCATTTATTAGGTCTTGTTACTGGCATACTATACCTTTAGGTAAGTGTTGATTGCCTTGTAAAGGTCATCATGAACAGGCCTGGCCATTTCTGGAACTGCTGAAGCTATAGAGACCATCTTTTCCACAGGCATTTTGGGGTCCCTGGCAATGACTTGTAGATACGAGTCGATTAGCTTCGCGATCTTCGTGATGGATCTTACTGACCGGGTTTCATCCCCGGAAGCCTGCCTTCGCCACTGCCTCGAAAAACTCTCAGCAACAATCTCAACCAGTCCAAAATCACAACCACTGCCCGAACCCGAACCTTGTGAATGTAACAGCAGGTCATTTAGCGTTGCCTCTTCGAATTGCAGGCCCGACCGCCTAATGAGCTCCGCCTTTGTGACCGGGGACGCTCCTAAGTGGTTTGCAGTACTGAGGAGCCTCAGCAGGAACCCGACAGAAACAGACCCTGCATCGGTTGGAATCAGGCTCACGATTGTCTCGAGAACGCGCTGCTTCCTGTCTAGAGATTGGGCACTGCTACTCGAACTTGCTAGAGGCAGAGCCTTCGTAACGTCGGGCAGCCAACGACAGGCGTAGACGTGCAACGCCTCCCCTATGAGCTGGGGCTGCAACGCGTTTGTTGACTTAACCGCCGAGATTATGCACCTGAAGTGGTCTATACTTAGCTCAGATAAGTCCTCGGTCCACCAATCCTTCGGGGCGGATTGCTGGCGCCGCCTTTGATCATAGCCCGGTCTCGTGTATGTATAAGACCACCTGACCTGAAATATGACCCCCTCTACATTAACCAAATATGTGCATCACATCAAAATAAAGAAACCATTCAAGGTTGAACATGTAGTTATGAACAGATACTGCATTGTAACAGAGTCAGTAGTACTCAAAGAAGAAAAAAGAAACCATTCAAACAGAACCAAAAAACAAACATCTAACCTTAACAGGAGGACACAAAATCTTCTCCACAATGGAATCAATACATTTTCGCATTATCCCAAGATTCTCTGCCCACTCAGCTAACTTCTCAGTCATCTTCAGCGCAAGAATTGAGTCCTTCCAGCCTTCAAGAATGCACGAAGCGAAGAACGCCTCGAGTTTTGGAACGAGATTCCCTTTCTCAAACACGTCTGTCATCCGGAGGAATTTGGCAGCACAAAACGCGGGCACGAAATTCTGAGCACTTACACTGATGGTGATGCCATAGCAGAACTTCGCGCACAACTCAAACGCCACTTCCCCCCCTGGAATGTCGTGCAGCTCCACAACAACATTGCCAGAATCTTCAGCGTTCGAGCAGAGGCGTTGTAGGAGCCCACACTTGGGAAGAAGTGGAAACTATATCACAATACACCACAATCATTCTTTTACCAAGATATATATAAAATAAACATAGGAATTACCAAAAGAATCTAAGATTACCTTATGAAGAAGAAAACTAATGTTGTTGATCAGAATAGTGAGGTCACTTGGCATGTCCGAAACCATTGTCCTGCAACATTCAACATCAGAGTTACAGATAACTAGTCTTTTATGTAACGAAATTTGTGTGTGACATTGACATATATACCTAGTAGCATCTTCTGTGTAAAAGGTATCTGGCCTAGACCCGATTTTCATAAACTTCATTTTGCAGAACTGCACAAAAATCTCGTACTACTTCTAATGAACGAGTGTTCTGTTGTGCTCTTTTCTAACTAGAAAGAACTCGAGGTAATCGATTTTCAGCAACATCTTTCAATCCTCCCTATAAAACAACGGAAGACAATAAATGCTAATCTGTTATTACAACAATACTAGGGAAGGTGGAATTTATTAATTCGCATGGATTTCAAAGCTGTGTGGAAAACTATGTAAGTTGGATGAAAAATGAACAATAATCCTCTTAAGATTATGGGATAGATTTCGTCTATTCAACAAAACAATCTTGACAATCGAAAAACATGTTACATACTAACAACATCCGGTACAATGAACTTGAGACCATCTGAAAATCTGGTGAATGCCAAATTCCTAAACTCAATTTGGGAATAGATTCACACAACTTGTGATGACTCAATTCCAAACTGATTTTTTCATACCAAGTCCATAGTGGCTGCAAAGAATTCCTTTTAAACACGGAGACAATTACAATCTTGCTTTCAGTGAAATTAACTCAAACCTTTTACTCCCTAATACGCGGATCGTGGGCATAAAGACTTAAAGATCAAGAAAGGAGAAAGAAATTAAAGTTGCAGGCAGGCCAATATAGTATACTGTTTCTTGAAAAGGGATAAAAAGAAAGAGAGGAAGAACTAGTGGTAGAGTTTATATATATATATATATATATATATATATATATATATATATATATATATATATATATATATGTTTTATTGTTGAACTTGAAATGGGGTAGAGTATAGTAAATTAAATTAAAGAACAGTTGCTACAGTGGAGCAGTACACATAATGATCTGACAAAAGGGAGCCTTCTAATGATCTTCTTGAAAACAAGGGAACAAGATGCAGAAAGCCACTCTGCATGTTGCTTTGTAAAACTCAGAAACTTTTTAGATTCCAAAGCCTGAAAGCCATTAACAACATATATATATGCATGTGAATATTAGCCTTCATGATGGCCATATATGCATGTCTGTGTGTATATATATATAGATTTGTAATCAGGTGCAAACTAGCCTTAAACTGCGAACTACTGAAGGATTGCACTGCAACGGCTGATTGTTTATATATATATATATATATATATATATATATATATATATAATGCCAAGCATATTAAAAATCTCTTGAAATTTCTAAATCTTTTCTGCAAAATCCCTATCAAGGATCCACTATATTGTTTTTACTCTTTGTCAGCATTTGTTTGGAATTTTGTGGAAAATAATGAAGCTAACTACAAAAAGATATAATGCTCCCAGCCCCAACCCAACCCCACCCCCACCCCTCACCCCTCCCCAAACCTTTTCTCCTTTGGTTTCTTAGCTTTTTCCTTTTCTTGTGCAAGTAAAGCAGGCAGCTTTCTAGTTGGTTATGAAAGGGATATCACCAAAAGGAGGCATCAATAGAAAACACTAATAAGGAATTGAAAAAAACATGGGCAATACATACAACAAAAACATGAAATAAAACAAACAAACAAACAAACCAGATTATTAATGCCAATGAAGTTTGACAGCTATAGAGATATATGGCTAAAGTGTAAGAAAATCTACAAAATGATGAAGGCCATGCCATATATATACACAACCCAAGAGAGTTCAAAGAAGATTTATATATGGAAGAAGCTAATAAGCGTACCAAACATGATGTTCATCTTAGGATTTTTCACTGTGTACGAGGTGAGGATATATATATGATATGATCATCATATCACTACTCACATCATGCTCTTCCTGTGATGGTATGGAAGCTAAGATGAGATAGTAGACACAAACCCATTGGAGAAGAAATATTAAACCCTAATTGTGATATACAGTGAGATCGAGAGGCAAGCCAAAGCAGAAGAAAATAGGAATAGAGAGAAGGAGAAGGTGGTGGTAGTGAGAAAGGGGAGGGGAGGGGGGGGGGGTACGTGGTGGGGTTGATATAATGGTATCAAGTATGGGGCTAGTCAACATAGTAATGCATCAAAAAGCAGCTTATCATGCATCACACACACACATAATTAAGCAGAACTGAATAAAACAGTAAAAGGCAAATACTCATAGGCTGGGCAGTTGGCAGTCCTTTTTTTCTCAATTCCCATTTCATTTGTGTCCCTTTGGGGTATATTGTAGTTTGGTGCCCACTAATTTCCAATTCCCAATTCCCTTAGATAGCTTGCTTCAACCCAAGTTGTGGAGGACATATATGCAAGTGGGTATAGTATAGGCTAGCATGGGTCGTGTAGGGGTGATATATTCTAAGTTCTATTCATCAGTAACTTCAAATCCCAGACCCCTACCTTTGAAAACTTCCTTTTTTTTTTTTTTTTTAAGAATTGGGACCAACTACGTACATTGCTAGAAACCAATTTTAAAACTAAAAAGAGATTGAGAATTCTAATGAAAGTAAAATGTATTATAGGTGCATGTAAAATGTATAATAGGTGCAAGTAAAATTTATCTTGAGCATCAATACTAAGTGCACCTATAGTTATATGTAGTTGCACCTAGGTGCATGAATGTTTGCGGGTGGTTTTCACGGGTACTACTACCCGCTGAACTCCCCACAAGAATAAAAACGATGCCAAACAGAACGAACTCAGATCAATGAATGTTAATAAGGTAAAATTACATGCACTTGTAGGCAAAAGTAGGTGCACTTGTAGGTGAAAGTAGGTGCACCCGATCAATGAATGCTGACACGTGGCAGCGCTGATTGGTTCGCATTTCTCTCCTGGGCACCTATTCGCACCTGAACGTGAGCATATATATATATATATATATATATATATATATATATATATATATATATATATATATATATATATATACATATATATATATATATATATATATATATATATATATATATATATATATATATATATATATATTTATATATTTATATAGGGAAGGGATCAGGTGCATTTGTTGCTTCCCGTGCGGATGTGCGGTGGATTAATGTGCGTCATTTTAATATGCGTGAGTTTTGTACTTAATGTGCCTGAGTATTGTGTTTAATGTGCGTGAGATTTGTACTTAATGTGCGTGCGTATTTCAGAATTACGAGCTCAGACGGAAGCAGAACAGAAACTCACACTACTGGAAATTCTGAAATTTCCACCACCTGAAAGTTATCTTAAATCAAGTCGAAATCCTTGTTCCGATCACTTTTGGTATCCGAAAAAACCTTTGTTGCTATTTCCGACCACTTTTTGCTTTCAATTTGATTTAAAATCACATTCCGATGGTCGGAAATTCAATAATTTCCAGTAGTGTCACGCACATTAACGCCCAAGCTTCTTGTTACTTCTTCCTTCAATTTGGCCATGGATTCTGGATTATCAACTACCTCAGTGCAGTTGAATGTTTATATAAATGACGCACGCACAGTAAAATTTGCACAGCTGCTAAGTGTGGATTTCTGTTGTATTATTTCCATAATTTTTAACTACCATAGCCCGCCTCCGCATCATCATCATCATCATCAGGGAGGGGGCAAATGACTACTGGGATGGGGAAGAAGCTGACATCAATATTTTCTGCTGCATTTTACACATTCACGCACATTAAGTACAAATATCAGGCACATTAAGCACAACACTCACGCACATTGAGTACAAATCTCACGTACATTAATCCACCGTACATCCGCACGGGAACCTTTCACTATATATATATGTCGATTCTAGTGCGGGTAGGTGCTTTAGGTGCAGGTGTGCGGTTTAATCTGTGCCATTGATCTTGCTTAGATTAAGGTCCAGGATTACCAAAATTAAAAAAAAAAAAAATGCGGTGGCAATTTGATAATTTTTGCATCTAAGTCAAATTCAAGGTGTGTAAGTTTCGTGCTTAAGGTGCGTGAGATTTGTGCTTAAGGTGCGTGAATTTTGTGCTTAATGTGCATGAGTTTGTGCTTAAGGTGCGTGAGTTTTGTGCTTAATCTGAGTAGTTGTTAAAACTTAAAGTGCGTGAGTTTTGTGCTTAAGGTGCGTGAGATTTGTGCTTAAGGTGTGTGAGTTTTGTGCTTAATGTGCGTGAGTTTGTGCTTAAAGTCGTGAGTTTTGTGCTTAATGTGAGTAGTTGGTAAAACTTAATGTGCGTGAAGTTTGTGCTTAATGTGCGTGAATTTTGTGCTTAATGTGCGTGAGTTTGTGCTTAATGTGAGCCATTTTAAAATCTTAAATGCGTGGGTTTTGTGCTTAATGTGCTTTGTTCTGTGCTTAAGGGGCGTGGTTTATGTACTTAATGTGAGTGATTTGTGTTCTTAAGTGCTTTGTTTGTGTGCTTAAGATGCGTGGTGATTTGTATACTTAAGGTACGCCATGTTCATGCTTAAAGTACGTTAAACCGCACAACTGCACGGGAAGCATCACCCGCACCTGAACCCTACCCTATATATATATATATATATATATATATATATATATATATATATATATATATATATATATATATATATATATATATATATAGGGAAGGGATCAGGTACATTTGTTGCTTCCCGTGCGGATGTGCGGTGGATTAATGTGCGTGAGGTTTATACTTAATGTGCGTGAGATTTGTACTCAATGTGCCTGAGATTTGTACTTAATGTGCCTGAGATTTGTACTTAATGTGCGTCATGTTAATATGCGTGAGTTTTGTACTTAATGTGCCTGGGTATTGTGTTTAATGTGCGTGAGATTTGTGCTTAATGTGCATGCGTATTTCAAAATTACGAGTTCAGAAGGAAGCAGAACAGAAACTCACGCACATTAACGCCCAAGCTTCTTGTTACTTCTTCCTTCAATTTGGCCATGGATTCTGGATTATCAGCTACCTTCAGTGCAGTTAGATGTTTATATAAATGACGCACGCACAGTAAAATTTGCACAACAGCTATGTGTGGATTTCTGTTGTATTATTCCCATAATTTTTAACCACCATAGCTAAATCGAAATTTTCGGTCGGTTCGGTTATCAATTTTTCGGTATTTATGCTCACCCCTATCCCCAAGCAGCAAGTGGAGAAGCACTTCCCCCTCCGAAACGGCGTCGTCACCTCCAAGATCTTGAGCTTTGCACATGAAATTACATATATATCCTCGAAGATCACGATCGACAAATGGTTAAATAGACGGAGGACTAAATCGTGTTAAAATTGTAAAGTTAAGGACTTAATTGGTTGAAATTGAAAGTTAAGGACCAATTTGTGAATTTAGCTATAGTCGAGGGACCATTTTGAGTATTTACTCGCAAAAATATTGACCATTAACATTCATTAAACAATATACTTCTCTAAAAGGTTATTGAATCCTCAACGCCAAGGACCCCCCAGACTCCGGCCCGACAAAGCATTTGGAATGATTTAAATCACGGCCCGACAAAGCATTTGGAATGATTTAAATCACGATCACTCAATGACAAAGAAGACAGTGCAAAATGTCCGTGCGCATAAGGGACCTGCCCACTTTGAACATAATCCCCACACTACTGCTGTCGAGGTTCAAACCTTGGTCTTTTCTCTCAAATACTGTCCACTCTCTTATACGAACGATGAACAAAATTAGGTGCCAAACATTATCAACAATATTTTTAATTATAATAATTATGTTTAAATAATTTAATAAATGATAATCATAAATGAAAAAAAAAAAAATTACTAACAGTTGTAGAATCCATATTACGTTAGTATATTGAAATGATTAATTATTATCATAATATTTCTATTTATATTGAAAAATAAAATGATCAATAAAAAATTTTGAATTACATAATGTACAAAGTTATATGGTACCCGGGTTGGACTTCCATTTGGAAGATTATGAGTTCAAGCCTCAGTGGAGGCGTTATTGGTTCTTTGTGTTTCAGTAGGTTGAGAAAGTATATGAACAGATACTACAATGTAATAGATCCAGTAACTTTAAAAAAAAAAAAAAAAAAGTTATAAAGACAATAGGTGAAAATTTATTTTTAAAAATCAGTTAGGGTGCGTTTGGAAACCCGGATTTTCAGTGTTTGGCAAGAGCGAGGAAAATGAGGTCAACAAAAAATGATGTTGTAGTCAATGGAAAATAAGTATGTTTTGGAGAAAAATGACTTCCCCTATTTTTTTGGGAAGTCATTTTCCAATCCTCATGCTTGGTATGTATAGTATATAATTTGTGTGTGTAATATAGATACACTATATATATATATATATATATATATATATATATATATATTATTTATTTATTTGTTTACGATATGTATTTATATATATTTGGATGCTATACACACACACATAGAGACATTCAAAATTATCCACAAGGCTTAATGAGTGTTATTCATAAAAAGAATTGTTTTATCAAAAATATCAAATAATTAAAATGTTGAAGTATACATTTTTTACTATTTTTCTATTCATTTTCTGAAAAATGAACCAAACACACAAAGACAATTTTCCGTTGTGTAGCCAAACATAAAAAAATTAAAATATTTTCTGAAAAATGACTTATTTGCCGGAAAACATTTTCCAGGAGTCATTTTCCTACTTTCCAAACGGAGCCTTAATTTATTGTCTTTACACGTACTATATATGATAATTATAAGGGTGAATTATAATTTTTATTTATTTAGTTATCAATGTTAGAATCCATTATATAGTAATGGAGTTATAGTGATGTAAGCGTAATTATGTCCAATACAAATACAATAAGGATATTTTTCTCTAATAAAAATACAGTGTATAACATTTGAAGTACAATGTATACCTTTGTTAGCATAGAAAAATGGACAAAAATCAATGATATAATCTAGATTGACACATATAATAACCTTTTTTTTTAGATTAGATAATAAAAAATTAAAATAATTAGTGCAGTGGAGGTCAATGGTATGTGTTTCTTACCACAAAGAGTGGAATTTGAGTGTTATTTAGGAGTAAAAATATAAAATATAAATTAAACTACATTAGCAGCACTAGTGAACTAAGATTTTTTAATTACAATAGAAAATTTTGACATATCTAATCCATTAATGAAAGGATTAAAAGCACCTGCACTTAATTAATAATTCAGGATTAAATTTCTACTTAGCGATCAAAAGTGTAATTTTTCATTTTTGGTAAAATGTCTACAAAGCTAAAGCATTTTATACATTTTAAAGTTGTATGTTAACAATTTTAAAGGTAGATCGAGGTGGAACAAAATATGTTAAAATT